TACTCCATGTCATTTTAATTTTATTAGAATCAGTCTTTATTTTGTTGCTCAAATACAATGACTTGGCTAAGGAGCACACTCTTTTAAATATTTTGGAATATTTTTTTACATATTCCCTAAATTCGACGCTAGGATTATATGACCTTTCATTGTAAAGTTCATATAACCTTTGTTTACTCTTATGAACTCCTACTGTCGCCCATTCATTAAATGCCTTGCGATTGTTCAAGGAGAATGTTATGCAAATTAGCTTAAATAATGTTCCATACAAAAATTTGGATTATTCTGGTATGAAAGTAATGGAAGTTTTTTTACTATGTTACTTCTAAACTTCTCCAAGCGATGTGCATTTACTGGAACAAACACTACTTTTTTATCTACTTGCTTTTTGTGAACATAAGGTAATGAAACAAATTGTCCACAGTGATCAGAGCTCAATTTTTGAATTATACATTTATTGAACGGCTAACATTTGTAAAAATGTTATTGTTACGCGCCTTAGTCGACGGCACTAGCGCCTAGTTGAAACTCGAACTCTCGGTACCTTGCGCGTGTTTACTTGAATATTCTGGATATTTCCGTGCTAATTTATATAAATAGGCGCTGCAAGATGCGATAGGGGAAGTATTGAAGTTGGCGAGACAAGCGAAGCTTCGGAGCGGAATAAAGTGAATCAGTGTAATTAATTATTAGTGTTTTAAGTTTTAACTGGTGTAAAAAAATTAAAGTGTTAATTTAGGATTCTATCGCAATTAATTAATTATAGTGTTTTAAGTTTTAACTGGTGTAAAAAAATTAAAGTGTTAATTTAGGTAATTCTATCGGCAATTTTTATTGTCACGAACCTCAAGCTCGTAACAATTGGTGTCAGAAGTGGGATAAAATCATGCCGATTTTACCTAAGGAGGAAACGGAGGGTGTCCGTACCCGAAGTCAACGCCAGCAGTAGACGGACCAAAGAAGATTTGGTGGTGCAACGCCGCAGACGACGGAGGGTCAGCCGCCGGCTGCAGGCCCGTCAGTAGCTCCTACATCTGCAGCACCTGACTTAGGTGCTCTGATGGTGATGCTGCAGGAGCAGGCTCGCCGACAGGAGGAACAGGTTCGTCGGTTGGAAGAGCAGCTGCGGGGCGGACAGGATGAACAGGCCCGTGGGTTGAAAGAGCAGCAGGAGGAACAGGCACGCCGACAGGAGGAACAGGCACGCCGATTGGAAGAGCAGCTGCGGGGCGGACAGGAGGAACAGGCCCGTCGGTTGGAAGAGCAGATGCTCCTCATGAAGGACCTTCATGCTACCTTCGGGAAGGAGATAAAGGAGGTGAAGGATAGGGTTGCTCAGCATGACAACCGGCTGTCGGAAGCTGAAACCCAAATCGCGAAAGCTGAAACCCGAATCGACCAAGTAAGCAATCGGGTTGACAACGTAATGGCTGACATGAAGAAATCACTGGACGAACTCAAACTTGGAGAGGGAGCTACAGCTCCCGTAGTAGCTACAACACCTTCGCTACGTGGGTTCAAGGTGCCACCGTTCGACGGTACCTCTTCCTGGTCAGCCTACAAAATCCAGTTCGAGGCTGTTATGAAGGCGAACGGCTGGAATAAAAGTCAGGCCATGACTGCTCTCACACTAGGCCTGCGCGACCAGGCCTTAACAGTTCTGGAAGCTCTCGGTGAGGAAGTGACTTATGAGCAACTCTTTGAGGCGTTGGAGGCGAGATATGGTGACGCTCACCTGGAACACGTCTTTCGTGCACAGCTTAAAGATTGCGTGCAGCGCATCAACGAAAACCTGCAGGAGTGGGCTCTAAAGGTGGAGAAGCTGGTGCGAAAAGCATACCGGTCTGTACCTGCGCTCATTGAAGGGAACCTGGTGCAGACATTCATCGACGGCATCCGCGACCTGGAAGTCAGAGCTGGTGTGAGGCTCGGGCACCACGAGACGCTTAAGAATGCCTTGGCCTATGCACTGGAGGTAGAAGCCGTGCGGCAGGATCATCGTTCCCATCGCATCAGGGAGGTTGCAGCAGCTACAGTACGCGACCGCAACAAAGGATACTGCCCTAGGTGCTATGGCTGTGGGGAAAGGGGCCATCTTTGCTCCAGCTGCCCTAAGCGAACTGTAGAAAGGAAAGCTGATCGATCTCGAGAGGGTAGTGCAGCTAACGGCACCGCCTGGCGGTGACAGGATCGTCGTCCCCCTCGTGCTAGGGAGGTTGCAGCAGTTACCTGATTGGTGCTATGGCTGTGGGGAAAGGGGCCATCTTAAATCCAGCTGCCCTAAGCGAACCCTAGAAAGGGAAGGTGAACGATCTCAGAAGGGAAGTGTGGCTAACACCCCCAGCAGCAGCCGGGATACGACTTTACTATCAGACATCGCAGCGGGAAATCTCATGGCAACGCAGATGCATTGTCAAGAAGACCTAGTCCTGAAGATTGCAACCATTGTAGTAGGCAAGAGAGTAAGGAAGTGGTATTCGTGAGGATGCTCAGGACAGACCACCTCAGCAACGAGTGGAAGGACAGCCTACGACATGCACAGCAGGAAGATCCGGAGATCAAGCCGATTCTGGAATGGATGAAGGCCCGCGCTTCCAAGCCTAAGTGGAGCGACATCTCAGCGATGAGTTCAACCACGAAAAGCTATTGGGCCCAATGGGACAGCTTGCTGATTCAGGATGGAGTCCTGTGCCGTAAATGGGACAATTGTCGAGGAGACAGCTGTCGTTTGCAAATGGTTGTCCCCAGCTAAAGTGCCGAATTCTACAGCTGTAGTGCGATCATATGGTCGTTCAAGAGTCCATCTGGGAGTTAAACGAACTCTGCTGAAGGTCCGAGAACAGTTTTACTGGGTCCATTATCGTGACGATGTCGAGGCTTGGTGTCGTACATGTGCAAGTTGTGCGGCCGTGAGGGGACCTCAGACACGTAGTAGAGGAGCACCGAAATTGTACAATGTTGGTGCACCGTGGGATAGGGCAGCCCTTGACATTGCGGAGCCATTACAGAAAGGCGCAAGAGGGACTCCTAAGATCGTCCATGTTGATCGCCTGGCGCGTTATTATGGGGCCGATCTCGGGACGAGCATGTCTTAGAAGGGGGCAGTGTTACGCGCCTTAGTCGACGGCACTAGCGCCTAGTTGAAACTCGACCTTCCTTACTTGAATATTCTGGATATTTCCGTGCTAATTTATATAAATAGGCGCTGCAAGATGCGATCGGGGAAGTATTGAAGTTAGCGAGACAAGCGAAGCTTCGGAGCGGAATAAAGTGAATCAGTGTAATTAATTATTAGTGTTTTAAGTTTTAATTGGTGTAAAGAAAATTAAAGTGTTAATTTAGGTAATTCTATCGGCAATTTTTATTGTCACGAACCTCAAGCTCGTAACATTATCTATACATGTTGCACTAGATTCAGCAATACGTGTTGGCTCCAAAAATAAATTAAAAAGACCATAAGATTTAAACAATGATCTAAATTTAATATTAGTGGAGGAAGCTTCTAGGAGATTGATATTAAAGTCTCCACATATTACAACAGATATATTGTGTTTATTAAGCTTAGCGGAAACTTCCTCCATAATATTTTCAAAAGTATCATATAAAGAACATGGGGGTCTGTAAACGCTCACAACATGTGGTGCACGACATCCTTTAGGATGTATCTCCGATAGTTTTTGGTCTTAATAAGCTAATCCTGTATCGCATAGACAAAATCCTCGGTTTCCCTGAAGAGGTCACCGAAATGTAGCCAGTTGAGGGAGGCGACTGTATCTACAAAGGGCTCATGTAGAGCCCTGTAGTACCTCCCGTGGAGCTCCTTTTCTTTCCATACGGTTTCCCGCTCGGAAATGCTAAGCACTGCTGGGTCCTGCCATTGCCCGTTGGCTAAGGATAGAGGGGTAAGCCCTTTATCACTAGAAATTACGTCATTATAGAATAGATCATCCAATTTCGCCAGGAAGTAATGACGGAGGCTGCACACTTCGCGATTATGCATAGTGAGCGCGCTCAGAAAGGCACGCCTACCATGATTTCACTGTAAGTACAGCCTCATTACCGACGATCTCAGATGATGCATCCTATGGGACGTCATGGTAGTGCGGACTTTTCTATCAGGGCGTTAAGTTCAGTAGGAGTCCACTTGAGTATGCCAAAGGTATACATGAGGACAGGCATGACCCAACCGTTATATGCGTGTGTCTTATTCACACCGGACAAAAGGCTGTTAAGCACTTTGGTCAAGCGTGCATAAAACACGTCGCAAACTGACCGTTTCTTAGCAGCCTCATCGATACTGTGACATACCCAGGTATCGGTATGTTTCAGCCTCGGAAATGGTCCTTAAATTGACGGGCATATATAAGTCTATGCCCTCAGAGTTAGCAACCCTTCCCCTTTCAACATGGAGAACCGCACACTTATCCGTCCCCAGCTCCATTCCAATGGAATTGCTAAATTCACAAGTGATGTTTAACAATTCCATAAGATGGGAGCGACTGGAGGCGAATAACTTGATGTCATCCATATAGAAAAGGTGGGTCACTTTGTCCTTCCCTTTCCGTAGCTGAAATCCACTCCCGGAGCCCTCCAGTAAGGTACAGAGAGGGTTCAGAAAGAGGCAGAACCAGATTGGACTCAGAAAATCGCCCTGGAAGATATCCCTTCGTACTACACTGCCCCATACACTGCTCGAGGAAGTCTCTAACTGTACAGTCTATCTTGGGGTATACCGACACCGAGTTGAATGCCTTTCTGTAGTCTATCCAGGTGGCGGAGAAGTTCCGACGGTTGCGTTTCACCACTTTGTCAATAACCCTTTCCTTTTTCCACGACCACCGCCCGACATCCATTTTGAGCGCGTGACATCACCTGATTTAGCTCCAGGTGACGAATGATTCTCGCGCTCAAAATGGATGTCAGTGTCTTACATATGGTGGGTAGATACGTAATGGGCCGGTATTTGCACGGGTCTGCGGTATCCTGATCTTTAGGAACCAATGAGTGATCCCAGTAGTGAAGAGGCTCGGGAGCGACTTCTGATCGAGAGCCTCTTGAAACTTTCGGGTGAGCACAGCGTGACACACTACGAACCCCTTCATCCAGTAATGATGCAGCCCATCGAGCCCCGGACTTTTACAGTTCGGGGCCCTACGGACCGCCTCAGTCACGTCTTCCGGCGTTATGGTGACGGGGTCTCGCCACAACTTTCATCCAAGGGCCCTCGCTGTGGTTTACGGGCTCTGCCCACAGACCACGCCAAAATGCGACAGTGTTAGCCTGATCCGGTCCTCGGCCCGCTCCACATACCTCTGGTCATTCCAATGATTTATAGAGCCTCTTCTGATCACTCTGGAAGAGACAATTCTGGTTGAACCGCCTTGACCTCTCGGTAAATCGTCGAATCCGCTTCCCCCAAGCAGCGATCTTTTGCTCCAGGTCGTCAATGCGCTCCGTTAGTTTCTGCGTGATATCCGGCTGGAACAAACTGATATTTGTCCCAGCAAACGCCATTCTAACGGTGCGCACAACCCTCGGTCTATTATTACCCGACCTGAAGCTTTTCAGTCTGCCGATAAGGGCCCTTGCCTTTGCAATACGGTCCTCAATTCTTCTTCAGGCTGGGGCGGCGCTACTTTGTTTAGTAGCGCGTCCAGCCATGGAAAGTTTGGCACCAATAATAAGGCAAACTGCCACTGCGGCGCCAAAAAGAACTGAGTCCGTCTCGCAAAGGTCCCGGCTGGCTTCCAAATAGGTTACCAGCATTGGGTTAAGAGCCCTCACGATAGCCCGATTTCGCTTGCTTAGGGTTATTCGGGGAAGTATACTCGGTCGATTTCGAGAGGGTTTCAAATCACCCTTCCAATATAATCCTCATTTGCTCTAGTTCGTAGGAGACCATTTCATCATCGTCCGAATCAACCACAATTGGAAGATCCATGGCGGCTTCCGCGCGTGGATGCCGGTCTGTCGCCTGAGGAGCCGCATCCCCAGCCATAGCCAGTTCATTCGATGAGGGAATGGCCTCACGTCGTAGTCGTTCGAGCTCGGCATAATCAAATATTTTCGAGCGCATGATATACCGAACTCGGTCCGCCAGGTTTTGTTCCGTGACGGGAATAGACGGCTCCAGCTCAGCAAAAAAAGCAATGCATCCGAGCCCGATACGTTATCCCTGCAGTTTCTTCCTCTATCGCCCTATAGTACGCCCGCCATCCGTTTGCGTTCATATTTTTTGTCCAACGCATGCAGCGCACTCCGCCAGCGGCGGATGCCGCTTGCCAAGTCCGATAGGACCCTGCCGACATCAAGCCATCTTGTGGGGATGATGGATGCAGGGGGCTGCTAGGTGATCTGGCAGCTACTCGCGCTCGGCTGGCGGCAAACATGCCGCTGCGTCCAGTGCCAGCTCCAGACGCGGCCCGATGCCCCCCCCGGCGGCGGCCCTATACGCTTTCTATTAAAATCCATCATCCATTTTTGGGCGCCAATTAACGAGAGATGCTCAGGCCCGGCACCGTTTCATTGTATCATTGTACGGCCGTAAGCACAAACAGGCCTTTGCACCCTAAGTACTGCCGAGGCACGGCACTCACACCTCTTGGCAAGGCACTGACTGACTGCACCGATGTAGCATTGTTGTCACTTAACTGTTACGTCGGCGGGCGATGGGGTCGTCACTTCCCTACGCCAGACTATTATTGTTATTATTATATACCGTATGTATTGCACAGACAAAACCCTCGGTTTCCCCGAAGAGGTGACCGAAACGCAGCCAGTTGAGAGAGGCGACTGTATCTACGAAGAGCTCGTTATTATTATTATTGGGGTATCTATGTAATTTTCTCACCTGGTTGGGTTCTATAAATATATAATTATAAATTAAAATGAAAAGATAAATATACAAAATATCATAAAACAAAATATATACAAAAACTACATAAATAAATTAGATCCAACCAGATGGGAGCCCTCGGCAGGGGAGACCAAACGGCCGAGGGTTAGGGGGAAAGGGAAAGAAACCGGCGGACGATGCGGGCGGTATCGAGGAGCACCGCCTTCTGCATTTGAGCCCGGAGCGGTCCGTCACGGAGTCCCAGTCGCCTCAGATGACCCGAGAGGCTGACTGGGATTAGCCCATTCACAGAGATGACTACAAGGATAATTTCGGTCGGCAGACCACCCCACATGTCGGTCACCTCGTGAGCCAGGTCCAGATATTTTGTTCGTTTCTCTGTTTCGGCTTTCACGAGGTTCTCGTCATACGGAATGGTAATGTCGATCAAAAATATCCTTGACTGTGCCCGGTCCATCAGCACAATATCAGGCTTATTCGCAAGAATAGTCCTGTCTGTGATGATGGCCCGGTCCCAGTAGAGCTTGGCGCGGTGATTTTCGAGCACGGCTTCCGACAAGTACTTGTAATACGGCAATTTTCGGTCCACGAGACCGTATTTCAGAGCGAGCTCCTGGTGTAGAATTCTGGCTACTAGGTTGTGCCTGTGCAAGTACTCAGAGTTAGAAAGCGCCGAACAACCGGAGATGACATGCCTAAGTGACTCCCCGGAATGGCGACAAGCTCGACAGATGTCGACAGTGCCATCCTTTAGGATGTATCTCCGATAGTTGCTGGTCTTAATAACCTGATCCTGTATTGCACAGACAAAACCCTCGGTTTCCCCAAAGAGGTCACCGAAACGTAGCTTGTTGAGGGAGGCGGCTGTATCTACGTGAGGCTCATGTAGAGCCCTGTAGTACCTCCCGTGGAGCTCCTTCTCCTTCCATACGGTCTCCCGGTCGGAAATGCTCTGTACTGCCGGGTCTTGCCATTGCTCGTTGGCTAAGGATAGAGGGGTAAGTCCTTTATCACTAGAAATGACGTCATTATAGAATGGATCATCCGATCTCGCCAGGAAGTAATGACGGAGGCTGCACACTTCGCGAATGCATCAAACACGCCCACCATGCTTACGCGGCAAGTACAGCCTCATTACCGACGATCTCGGATGATGCATCCTATGGGACGTCATTGTAGTGCGGACTTTTCTATCCAGGGCGTTAAGCTCAGTCTGACTCCACCTGAGTATGTCAAAGGTATACATGAAGACAGGCATGACCCAACCATTATATGCGTGTGTCTTATTCACACCGGACAAAAGGCTGTTAAGCACTTTGGTCAAGCGTGCATAAAACACGTCGCAAACTGACTGTTTCATACCAGCCTCATCGATACCGATGTTCTGTGACATACCCAGGTATCGGTATGTTTCAGCCTCGGAAAGGGCCCTTAAGTTGACGGGCATAGATAAGTCTATGCCCTCAGAGTTAGAAACCCTTCCCCTTTCAACATGGAGGACCGCACACTTATCCGTCCTCAGCTCCATTCTAATAGAATTGCTAAATTCACAAGTGATGTTTAGCAATTCCATAAGATGGGAGCGACTGGAGGCGAATAACTTGAGGTCATCCATATAGAAAAGGTGGGTTACTTTTGCACCTCCTTTCCGAAGCTGAAATCCCCTCCCGGAGCCCTCCAGTAAAGTACTGAGAGGGTTCAAAGTGAGGCAGAACCAGACTGGACTCAGTCAGTCGCCCTGGAATATACCCCTTCTTATCCCTATGCGGCTTTCCGCAGCTGTCATCCGCTCGCCTAGATAACAGAGGATCGTACTCCACTGCCCCATACACTGCTCGAGGAAGTCTCGAACTGTACAGTCAATCTTGTACAGCTCGAGGACCCTCTTTAGCCATGTATGGGGCACCGAGTCAAATGCCTTTCTGTAATCTATCCGGGCGGCGGAGAAGTTCCGACGGTTGCGTTCCACCACTTTGCCAATGACCGCGTCAATGAGGAGTGGTTCCATGGTTCCACGACCGCCGCCCAGACATCCATTTTGAGCGCGCGACATCACCTGATTAGAGTCCAGGTGACGAGCGATTCTCGCGCTCAAAATGGATGTTAGTGTCTTGTATATAGTCGGTAGACACGTGATGGGGCGGTATTTGCTCGGGTCTGTGGCATCCTGATCTTTAGGAACCAAATGAGTGATCCCAGTAGTGAAGAGGCTTGGGAGCGACTTCTGGTTGAGAGCCTCTTGAAACTGTCGGGCGAGCACAGCGTGACACACCATGAACCCTTTCAGCCAGTAGTGATGCAGCCCGTCAAGCCCCGGACTTTTCCAGTTCGGGGCCCTACGGACCGCCTCAGCTTATTATTATTATTATTTATCTGGGTATCTGTATAGTTTTCTCATCTGGTTGGTTTCTATAAATATATAATTATAAATTAAAATGAAAAGATAAATATACATAAATATCAATAAAATAAAATAAATACAAGAAATACATTTATTATTATTAGATAAAAGGCATAAATAAATTAGTAAACATGGTGTGTTTTTACCCACATATAGTATGCTGTGTGTCCGTGGCTATATGAAAATATTTAAACATTCTTTTATCGATGTTATATTTATAGAAATATTGATATGGGCTGCCCTATTAACCGCCATTTTATCCTCTCTGTAAAGTGTAGGTATACACGTATTTCTTGTAGATATGCCAGGTCCATATTATATTTTTTAAGTCAATGGTTGTCGGGATTTGTGGCGGGAACTTGGCCGACGACGGACTGTCGCTTCTGTTTTGTCGCTTGAGTAATGGTTAGAAGTGGATTTTAATTCGTAATAGTGATATAATTTTGTGAATTAAGCGTCTGCGCGTTTGAAATATTAGAGAAAACGACGAAACAAGTGTTTTGATGTTGATATAAACCTCAAGTTAATTTGATCCCTTGGGCGCCTTATGAACTTGAGTGGCTGTCGTCATCAATAGTCCGTTGGGTTGAGTTGTCGTCAAAATATCCCAAAAACTTCACAATGTGACGCATCAGCATATTGTGAAGAAAAAAAATATAAAATGAAGATTCTGAAAGAAATGAAGGGCTAGTACCCAGAGCTGTAAAGCCAGTTAAAAAAAGAGTCAATGGTTGTTTCTTATTTCTATGTTGTTCTTTGAGCATAGAAAATCTATGCTCAAAGATGTTGTTTCTAGTCAAATTTAATAGTCTGTGGCTCTGTGGTTGTCAATGTCATTGTTTGTTTTTTCAGGTGCGCCCAGGTGCGCCTGTTTACCTGTTTATGAGCCTGCTAATATTACCATTAAGTTTTTATTGCTATCATAAAATTTATATACTAAGTAATATGTGTATGTGTCAAGAAATTCGTTAGTTGGCTGCTCCTTTCGACAGCCTATCTAAGAATGCAACCTCTAATATCACTGATTGGTAAGAAAAGTTTGCTTACAAATTACAGCAACCTTTGTGTTATTTGTCAGACATTTGTTTTATTTACATATTATATATACATATATATATATATATATATATATATATATATATATATATATATATATCCTATGTGTAATATTGTGTTTAATATTAACGGTTAAGATATACCTATGATGTATAGTAGGACTTTGTTAAGCTATGTCAGCGCTCTTTACCATCCTTGTCCGCATCATTAGATATAATTAAGTGGAATAGTAATCAAGCGCTGACTTACAATGGTTCAATAGTAGGCATGAGTCCAATATATCATAATGTAACTCATGTTATATCTAAACATATAATCATTTTCAGTCAATGTTCAATAATTTATCAACCTACAATATTCTATATCACACAGCCAGCAATCACCATACACATCTATGTCACGCAATATTAATATTCAAAATCAATGAAGTACCTATACAAATTTGATAAATGTTAATAATTACAGTTCCTATGGACAAATAATGTATACCGTCAGCAAGCACAGTATCTGCAGAACCCCAGTAGATGGAGTGATGACCTGGTAAGAAATGAGAGAAGTTGATAGATGCAGATTGTTCAGGACAGTGTTTTGTGGCATTCCTTGGTCGGCCTATGTTCAGTAGGGGACTTGTAATGATGATATACACTTTTACACTGAAGTGCTTTACACTTTTATGTAAGTACTCATCTTCCTATACATATAATATTCACTAATGTGAAATCTGCAGTCACTGCAATTTAGTTGTAATTCCTCTAATTGTATCCAATTATGTCCATGTCTTGATGTGTGATTGTAGCTCTATATATGCTAGCTATGCCACTCCATGCACAATCTAATACTCTTTATGGTATAAGCAACTGTCCTGGTGTGAAGTATCGCCATATCTTTGCAAAGTATTAGTTATCACTTTCACTACTAAACACAATTACCTGCATTTTAAATACAATATCAGTAGTCAGCCTCGACGCACAAGGAGATTGTTAAGGATTTGGGCATATATTTCGATTCAAAATTTTCGTTTCGTCCACATTATGAGTTCATAACCCAAAAAAGTTTCAAAACCTTAGGGTTTATAATTCGTGTAACAAAAAATTTCTCCAAACCACTCACATCATTTTGATTATTTTATACTTTAGTTTGTTCTGTACTGAAGTATACTTCCATTGTATGGTCACCCTTTTATAAGGTACATTCTGACAGTATCGAGAGGGTGCAGAGTTGTTTCCTTCGCAGTGTTTGCAGTAGATATGGTCACTTGCATTGTCTACCATCATACGACTCTCGTCTAAAGTTTTTTAATGTCCAGCAATTATCTTTGAGGAGACAATTTGCCGACCAAGTTTTCTTGCACAAGATTGTGCAATTTCATATAGAGCCCAGATTTACTGAGGCTGATTAACTTCAATTCCGGTATACGACAATGTGCTCAAAGAATTTTCAGGTTAGACATACACAAGAATAACACTTCATTTTTCAACCCTGTTGTCAAAATGTGCCGTGATTATGAGATTAAGACGATTTACAAGAATTTTACAGAACAAGATTTGAGATTTAAAAGAAATTTATGTGTTTCTCTTAACATTTAATGTATTTTTTATCTGTTTTATTTTGCTAAGACTAATATTATACTGCAGTTATATTATTATGCTGTGTACACTTTTTGGATTGTAGTTTAGTTCAACACAAATATACTTTTAATTTTAGACCTTTATATAACTACTGTCTGTTTGTGTACCTTATCCAATAAAAAAATAAAAATAAAGTATCTCATTCACTAATCTCTTTATATTGTATGTGTTGATGGTCCTCTGTTACTTTGCAGGCTGCACCTATCATGTAAAATTTTGTTAAAAATGTTTTTTTTTTTTTGGTAACCACACTCAACATATACTTCACTCTCACAGAATATGATCATGAAACAGCAAAACAATGCTGCTGTTTCATATCATGAGGAAAAAGTTTTTTATTTAAAAACTTTACCTCCGAATTAGGTTTTTCTACTGTATCGTGGGGGCATTTTACATACATAACTTTCACAAAGACAAACATCCAGACCCAGAATAAGTGTTTCGCATGGTGAGTGTCGAGAACCGGAAACCTTTTTTTACTGGAAACGAGGCATTGCATCTTAGTCCTCACAGGTGACAATGTTTCTGCATTTTGATTAATGATTGAGGATAGGTGTAGATATCTATGTATTACCACATCCACTTACTTTAAACGGATTGTGTGCTTGCTTATCACCCTTATAATATAGTTGAGTACAGAATAGTCAATAACTTAGAAAGCCAGATCATCAGTCTATTGAAGTATGTTGCACAGACAGTTCATCTAGGTCATGAGTATATAGGTTATTGAGAAGGGTCTTAGTATGAATCCTTGAGGTGCTTTTCCTTGTCACTCGAGACAACATGCATAAATTACATGCAGGTAATGTGTAACGCGCAAACTAGATATGAGCCTGTATGTTGTCTGTCGTCTATGTAACCTAATCTTAATAAATATTTGATATTTGTTAAGTTAACAATTTATTTTATTCGATTGTCTGTCCATCAATATTGCGTGATAAACTTGATAATTGTGCTTAATTAGCGTTTATATCACACTTTAGGCTGTTTTTGATTAAAAAATTTTTTTATTATATATAGGTAGTTAGCTTGTGAAATTTTTTGCGCCCTCCTTTCTGCCAAGGAGGGTCGCGTTCGTATACGGCTTAGAGATCTCTAGTTAGACCGTTAAGCCAGTCCCTAAAAGGTGGGGTTTAGTGGGTAAAAGTCTCCACATAACCACGCAGCCGGCTGCGTGGTATGCTATGAGCATTCCCCACCTCCCTCCCCCGCCTTCCGGAGGGTTGCCCATATTTGCTTCGGGCGCAAAAAAAAAATTGTGAAATTTCTTTTTTTTTTCCTACACTATATCATGGACTTTGGAATTTGAAGTTATTTTATTAATAATTTTTATTTTATTAAAAATTTATATTACTTTTGGTTATTAGAAATTGATTTTCTTAAGTTAATATTTAACCTTTTAAGTTGCTTTTGTAGCCTAGGAATCCATGCGGTCAGCATTAGACAGAATGAAATAGTATTGAGTTTACTGGCAACTTCCCTCTCTTTCATATATTTTTGTACTGCTAGTAAAAAAATCATAATGAAAAGAATTAAATACCGTACTAAAGTATTTACTGGTACTTAAAATTTTGAATGTTTAGTTGGTTTTTAAAGAAGTAAATTATGCCGTTTTAAAATTTGTTTAAGAACAATATTCATTTATTGAAAGCTATTAAAGTTCCCTACACAACACAGGGGTGTCGTAAGAGGCGACAGAGGGAGACAGGCAGGAGATGGGCAGCAGCATCTTCCTGATAACAACTGTGACGTAATAAAAAACTGCGGTTGCCAACCCGCTCGCCAAGCGTGGCAACTATGGCAAATGCCCCCCAATGAATAATTACACAAACAGACGGCCCCCAGTCCCCGGCGGCCCCGCTATTCCTGGCTACGGTGGCGACCATGGTAACGGCGGGGCAGGGGGTGCTAAGAATCTCCGGTGGAGGTTCGGTTGCCACCTACGACGACTCGACCTGGCAACATATAACGCACGCACCCTGAGGACTGACAAGAAGATACTGGAGCTGGAAGAAGATGTAGACAAGTTGCGCTGGCATATTATTGGATTATCCGAGGTCCGAAGAGAGGGGGAGGACACGGTAATCCTCGAGTCCGGCAACTTGTTTTATCACCGGGAGGGCGACCATCTGTCCCAAGGAGGTGTCGGATTTATCGTCCACAAGTCTCTCGTCAACAACGTTGTAAAGATTGGGAGTGTGTCGACGAGGGTCGCGTACCTGATACTCAGAATCACCAAACGGTATTCGCTGAAGGTCATTCAGGTTTACGCACCTACCTCGGCACATTCCGATGAGGAGGTGGAGGAAATGTATGAGGATATTTCCAGAGCCATACATTCCTCCAAAACCCACTACACGGTGTTGATGGGAGACTTCAACGCAAAACTAGGCACAAGAGAAAGCGGTGAGCTGAAGGTAGGGAAATTTGGAGTAGGGCAACGGAACCGAAGGGGCCAGCAGCTGGGCGACTTTATGGAGAAAGAGGGACTCTTTATGATGAACTCTTTCTTCCAGAAGCGGCCCCACAGGAAGTGGACCTGGTCGAGCCCCGACGGTTCGACAAAAAATGAGATTGACTTCATTATGAGGACCAGACGCCAACTGTTCAGTGATGTCTCAGTGATCGCAAGGGTGAAAACTGGCAGCGATCACCGAATGGTTAGAGGCACACTGAAACCTAAACGTTAAGTTGGAGAGGTCTCGTCTAATGAAGTCAACGCTCCGTCCCCCTCGTGCTCTAATCCAGAATGCCGAAACCTTTCAGCTCGAGTTACGTAACCGCTTCCAGTGCCTAGAAGATTGCAATGCAGTGGACGATATGAACGACAAGCTCGTGGAAACTGTCCATGCGGTCGGAGCTAAGCTCTGCAAGACCCGCCGCAGAAGAACACAAAAACTCTCCGATCACACTCTTAATCTCATGGCTGTTAGACGGGAGATGAGGCTGCAATCGTCAACAGATTTGACAGCATACAGGCAACTGAACAGACAGATCTCCAAATGCATGCGGCGAGACTTACGCAACTTTAATACTTCTCGTATTAAAGAAGCGATCGAGCGGAACCAGGGCTCCAAAGTCTTTGCCAGAGATCTGTCTGCCAGAAAGAGCCAACTGTCAAAGCTGAAGACTGAGGGTGGCAACATCGTTTACGGGACACCTGAGATTCTGAGTGAGATTGAGAGGTTCTATGGGCAGCTGTACACATCATCGTTGGAGCCACACGCAAGTGTGAGTAACGATCCAAGAGCAAGTCTTATCCGACACTATTCCGATGATATCCCGGACGTCAGTCTGAGTGAGATTAGAATGGCTCTCCACCACCTTAAAAACGGCAAGGCCCCGGGCGAGGATGGAATTACATCGGAGCTTCTGAAAGCGGGTGGAGCACCGGTACTTGAAGTCCTTCAGAAGCTCTTCAATTCCGTCCTCCATGGTGGCACTACTCCGGAGGCGTGGAGCAGAAGCGCGGTGGTTTTGTTCTTTAAGAAAGGCGACAACGCTGTCTTGAAGAACTACAGACCGATTTCCCTTCTGAGCCGCGTCTACATGCTATTTTCGAGAGTCATTACGAATCGTCTCGCACGCAGACTCGACGACTTCCAGCCTCCCGACCAAGCCGGTTTCCGAAAAGGCTTCAGTACCATAGACCACATACATACCCTGCGGCAGATTGTACAGAAGACCGAAGAGTACAATCTGCCACTTTGCTTGGCATATGTGGACTATGAGAAAGCCTTTGATTCCGTCGAAATTTGGGCGGTGCTACAGTCCCTTCAGCGGTGCCAAGTTGACTGTCGGTACATCGAAGTGCTGAAGTGTTTGTATAGTAGGGCTACGATGGCTATCCGAGTACAGAACCAGAGTTCGAAACCTATCCAACTGCAGAGAGGTGTAAGACAGGGTGATGTTATATCCCCGAAACTCTTCACCGCTGCGTTGGAAGACGTTTTCAAGCTACTGGACTGGAAAGGATACGGTATTAACATCAATGGCGAGTACATCACTCACCTTCGATTTGCCGACGATATAGTCCTTATGGCAGAATCGCTGGAGGACTTAAGCATTATGCTCAATGACCTCAATAGTGCCTCCCAACGGATAGGTCTTAAGATGAACATGGACAAAACAAAGATCATGTTTAATGTCCATGTCACACCTGTGCCGGTAGTTGTTGGGAGCACTATGCTCGAAGTTGTTGACGAGTACGTTTACCTGGGACAAATAGTCCGACTAGGTAAGTCCAACTTCGACCGAGAGGTCAATCGACGGATTCAACTCGGCTGGGCAGCGTTCGGGAAATTACGACATATCTTCTCGTCAGGTATACCTCAATCTATAAAAACTAGATTGTACAACCAGTGCCAGTGTTGCCAGTGATGACTTACGGATCTGAGACGTGGTCCTTCACTGCTGGCCGTATGAGGGCGCTTAAGGTCGCTCAGCGAGCTATGGAGAGGGCTATGCTCGGAGTTTCTCTGCGTGATAGACTCAGAAATGAGGATATCCGCAGTCAAACCAGAGTGACCGACATAGCCCAACGGATTAGTAAGCTGAAGTGGCAATGGGCCGGCCATATAGCTCGAAGAACCGATAACCGATGGGGAAGAAAGGTTCTCGAGTGGCAGCCTCGTACCGGTAGGCGTAGTGTAGGGCGACCCCCCACTAGATGGAGTGACGACCTGGTAAGACATGCAGGAAGTCGATGGATGCAGGTGGCTCAGGACCGTGCTTTGTGGCATTGCTTGGGGGAGGCCTATGTTCAGCAGTGGACTTGTGAAGGGCTGTAATGATGAATGAATGATGATGACACAACACAGGCTTCCATACAGAATATCTCATGATGGGGACATTTGCCACAGTTGCCACGCTTGGTGGCCGGTGGCCGGGCTGGCAATTGCAGTTTTTTTCTTCTATTTGTTATCCGTAAGACGCTATAGCCATCTCGTGATTTATGTCCCTCGGTCACCTCTTGCGACACTCAAGTGATGTGGAAATTATTAACATTAACGATTTCTAATAGTAGGGAAAGGCACACATTTTGTGACCACGGTTTTAAAGTTTTTTTTTTATAGGATAGGGTGACAAACGAGCACACAGTCCACCTGTAGCGTACCTGTGATGGTCAGTGGTTGCTGTAACCCACAGACAGCCACAGACAAAATGCAGATGCGTTGTCACCCGTGAGGACTAAGATAGAACGCTTCATTTCCAGTAAAAAGGTCTCCGGTTCTCTACACTTACTATACGAAACACAGCAGCATTAAGCTCCATTTTATATTGATATTCTGAGAGAGCGTGGTCCTACCCCGGTCGAGCCGACGCATTCGTGCTACAACTATACTTGTACTATAACTGCAGCACGGCTCTACCACGTATAAAAATAATAATATTTCATAGGAGCTACTCCCTGCGACTTCGTCCGCATAGATGGTATTACGATTGGATTTCATGGGTGTTAATTGTTTTGCGCGAAATCCTTATTATTTTCTGAAATAAAAATAGCCTAAGTCACTCTTTATAACATCAGCGATCTGCCAGTGAAAGTCCCGTCAAAATCGCTCCAGCCGTTTTGGAGATTAGCTGGAACAAACAGACAGACAGACAAAAATTTTAATTTTTTCTATAGTTATAAGTACCGTGCATTATTTCATATGCATTTAGTAAAAAACTGTTATTTTTAATTGACAAACCGACACTTCAATTTCATTTATTTGTATAGAGTTTAAAGTAAACAAAAAAATATGTAATTACACTATAAAACAAATAATAATTATTATTTGTAATATTATATAAAAGGTAAAGTTACAGTCTATACAGGTACGTTCTACTCCAGAGCTCAGGCCTTCTCTCTTTGATGAGAAGGTTTTTTTATGTCAAAGAAATGTCCTCCGGGCTGCTCCAGTGCGTTTTGGTTTAAAATTTAAATAGTAAATAGAAACACATATTTCTAATATTTATTCATGTTGTTAGTTTGAAGGATATGTTACTAAGTTACATAATATTTGCTTTAAATATTTTTGTGTGATTTCTTGCAACATTCGATATCGCAACACTAGAAGTTAGTGTGGGATGCGAAACAAAATAGTCAGTTTAACAGACCTATATTCTTTCATGCACACTGATTATTGAAGGATATGTTACTAAGTTATTCTTGCAATCATATCACAACACTAGAAGTTAGTGTGGGACAAACAAAATAGTCAGTTTAAAGACCTATATTCATTTGCATGCACACTGTGATGTGATGTTTTATGAATGACTGATACATACAAAAGAGGTAAGAATTTTAATTCTCATGTAAATATTATATACTTTTATTAAAATATAGGTACATAAAATAAATATTACGTAATTATTTTTTTTTCTTTCACTAGCATGTGCAGAGTTATTGTATAGAGCTCTTTATTTAGAGAACCAATATAGCTTAATTTAGCTTCAAAAATATAGGCCGTGAAAGTGGCCAGTTTAAAACCGTTACTGTTGCATGGCCTCTCAAAAACGAAGCTACGTAGGTTTTAAAAATGTCTGAATATTATGTATCATCACGAACATAAAAAGCGCACCATGTACTATTTTTAAACAACTAATACTGCAAAAACATCGATTGACAGTTTGTAAACTGTGGCCAAAACAAACTAATTTTTTTTTTCTTTCACGGGTTATTGCGGTGTCTAGCTCGGAAATTATATACTTCTTAGAACCAAAAATCGGAATATTTTATGTAATGTATTGTAATAAACCATTTTTAATTAATAATTTAATAAACACTGTTTACTGTATATGCTAATAAATTTTTCAGCATAATTGTAAAAGTAATGTTTTCTTGCCAATTGTCAATTTGATCACATTTATTTTTCCGGTGATTTTTCTCTACGTTGTTTTTCAAAGATATTTTGATTATTACATATAATATCTGTTTATTATATCAGAGTCGTGATAGTTTAGATGGTTAGCTCTCGCTGTAAATTCGCGAGCAAACCGCGTTCGATTCCCGCCAGCACCATTGAAATTGTAAATTGCAATTTTAAGTGCTAGTTTACCACGTGCTTGGCGGTGAAGAAAACATCGTGAGGAAACCTGAATGTCTGAAAAATAAGAAAAAAAATTTGGAAGACATTTGAAGTTCGCCAACACGCATTGGGGCAGCGCGGCGGGCAATTCCGTGCCCTAACACCCTCTCAGAAATGAGCGGAGGCCTGTGTCCAGGAGTGGGACGTATATAGGCTGTAACTTTAATATATCAGCGGAAAATTGCTGCTTTATGCTGCTATGTTTCATAAGAAGGGTGTATCATGAAACTTTTTACTGAAAACGAGGCATACCAAAGACGAAATTCGTGGTCCCTAACACGAGTCGCGAGATGATGTTAAGTAGTGAATATGTTTAAACCGCTACTACCCGGTGCATGTGCTAGGTATATGTATCTAGTACAAGTACGGAACCCTAGTAGCGTCAACCCGACTCGCACTAGCACGTAGTATTCGTCTACTAGAGGAATTATTTCACTCACATTGTAGATTGATAAACTAAAACCAATAATTTATCATAAGCTATGGTAGGCAAACAAATTGGGTACCTAAATGTTGAATTAAAATAGGCATATCAAGCAGATAAGTTACAGTATGCAGGATATAATGGCCTGTGGGTGACATTAAATATGTCTGTTAAAATTGGAATATGATCGCATAATAAAAACTTTAAATCAGTGTAGTACGCGATTGATGCGAACGCACCAGGCTGGTCAATGTTGTCAGGGTGCAGAACTCGCTTTAGAAACTGATATTGCCTTAGTGCAGTGTTGATATGGGCGAGATTCAACTGCAATCTATTTATTGTAACTAAAGTTTTGCCTTTTATTTTTAATGAAATAATTTCCAGTTAACACATGGCGGTGAATGTTTTATGCCTTATCTTTTTTATAATATATATTTGATCGCTTAAATTACTTTTAAATTTTAGGGATACGTAAGCGGGTAAATATATTTCATGACCCATATTTGATCAAATTTAAAAAAAAATTATATGCATAAATATTTACCATATATGAATATATACCATTGGATTCATAGAACCTGAATGATAATAATATGGCTCAGTTGTACGGTTTTAATTAACGTTAAAAATTAGTTTAATTAAATACAGAGCCAGAGTAAAATATTAACTTCATATTGTATGTAACACAATAATTGACTTTTACAGATCACGAGTTACGTACCAACTCATACCGCGGCGAAGATGAACCCAGAACTTCCGAGGCGTCGCCGCTCATGCAGCGTTTTCCAAGAAGGCCAGTACAAGAAGAACAAAGATACCAGACCACCGTGGGCGTCACCCTACTCTTTCTAGTTCTCTTCGCGGGAATTGTAATATGCATATATTTGTTGGTTATCCAAAACAGATCAGGTGAGATATATATGTTTAATTTAATATCATTTTTTTAATTATCTATCTTTATTTAAAAGACTTTTATCCTACAAGGATATGTCAGCCTTATCGTAGCATACCTTGTTCCTGTTAACAAATCCTAAGTAGGCAATTAGAAAAGGGGAATCAATGCGATTGATTCACTTGGATTGGACAACCTTAGGGATCTACTTCACCTATCCTTCTTTTTAATTATAATAAGCTATCAGTTGCGTCGTTCTGCACTCCTAATGAAATTCAATTTTAAAGTTCCGTCACGAATTCCTCGTAAGCCCATTGAACCTCTCTCTCTCTCTCTCGTCCGTTTCGCAAAACAGTTCTGGGAGCCAATTCACTGGTGTCCAGGATTTCCCAATTATATAATAAGTGTGGTGGGTCAATAGATGTTCATTTTTATGACTCTAGCTAAGTTTAAGGCCGTAGTAAACGATACATTATTTAAGTACGAAGGCTGCACTAAAAGTATCGGTAATGGAATATTTCCACTTTTCCTCTCATATTAAAATCTTTTTAATTGAAAACTCCTTAGTTTTAAAAATCGAATATAATTTATTTATTTAAAAAAAGATGCTCGGTCTTGTTACAAGGTTTTGTCAAACTTGTTTAGTCGTTGAGAAAATGGAATTGACTCGAGAAAATTCAAGGGCGATGATTTATTATGACTTTCGAAGTGGTTTAACACAAAAACAGTGTGTTGACCGGATTATTTCTGCATTTGGTGATGAAACCCCATCCAAAACCACAATTTATCGCTGGTTTGCTGAATTTCAACGTGGACGTATCAAGCTCAGTGATGATCCACGTCAAGGTCGTCCAAAAACTGCAATCATCCAAGAAAACGTTGATGCTGTGCGTAAGCTGATTGAGGAAGATCGACATGTGACATACCGCGAAATTCAGGCAACTTTAGACATTGGCATGAGTCAAATACAAATAATCTTGCATGAACAATTAGGTGTAAAAAAGTTGTTTTCCCGATGGATACCGCATTCTCTCTGTGAAGAGCAAAAAGCGGCTCGCGTTACTTGGTGCGTCAGAACTCTCGAAAGATTCCACGCAGGATCCTCAAATGCTGTATACAACATCGTATCAGGTGACGATATACGCGTACGAACTCGAAACAAAAAATAAGTCACGAGTTTGGGTGTTCGAAAATGAGTTAAAGCCAACAAAAATTGTTCGTTCACGGAGTGTTGCAAAAAAAAATGGTGGCCACGTTTGTCTACAAAACCGGCCATGTTACGACTATTCCTCTTGAGGGAAAAAGAACGGTTAATGCAGAATGGTATGCTAGCATTTGTTTGCCACAGGTCTTTTCTGAACTCCGTAAAGAGAACTGCAACCGCCGCATCATCCTCCTCCTCCTCACGACAATGCGAGTTCTCACACCGCACACAGATCAAAAGTTTTTAGAGCAAGAAAACATAGAATTATTAGACCATCCGCCGTACAGCCCCGACCTAAGCCCTAATGATTTCTATACATTCCCTAAAATAAAGAATAAATTGCGTGGGCAGAGATTTTCATCGCCTGAAGAAGCTGTGGACGCCTACAAAACGGCCATTTTGGAGACCCCAACTTCCGAATGGAATGGTTGCTTCAATGATTGGTTCCATCGTATCGAAAAATGTGTCAAATTTCGCGGAGAATACTTCGAAAAGCAATAAATACATTTTTAAATAGTAATGTTGTGTCACTTCCTTGATTCCCGAAATTTTCAGTGCCGCCCTCGTAACTAGGTGTAAGTCATTGTGTGTATCAAAACACATAATATTACTTTGTTCTATCATAAGTTTTTGTATTTTATGTAACTACTATGTAACTTTTTAGTACTCTATAATCAATAACTTTATTTCATTCCACAGTTTACAAAAGGTGATACATAGTTTTATGGTATCTCTATAGACCCTGATGGGCACAGCAATATTATGAAGGAGGAACATTTATTTATTGTTAGTTGTTTTAGTATTATTATTGTTAAATAATTATTTAATATTAACATTATATTATTTAAACATACACACATTAAATTTGAAATACGGTTATTATAATTGTTATTATAATAGGGGGTCATTGTAGAAGCGTGCTCGTCGCGACCCCTGCCAGCCCTTTTCAGGGCTGCAATTCTACACAGCTGCGCGCACATGCAAACGAGAGTTAGGGCGTCCCTCCAAGGCGACGCACACCAGCTCGACCCCGTTGGTGTGGAATGCAGCGCGCAAAGCGGCGATGGGGACCGCCACCCGTCACGCACAGCCCGAAACGGCGGAAGGTGGAGGACGGAGTGCAGAGTTGGCACGTGGAATGTTAGAGGGGCATGAGAGATAAGACGAATGAGTTGATCGAAATAATGAAAGAAAGAGAATTAGATGTGTGTATGTCGGAGACCAAACGGAAAGGCAGTGGTACTGAAGAGCTCCCTGGCGGGGCGTTAGCTATATGGTCCGGAGTCCCGGAAAGCGAGAACACCTGCCAGGGAGTGGGGGTGCTGTTGTCGTCCCGGTTGGTCGATCTTATGACTGAATACAAGGTTGTGAACTCGACTTCTCTGGGTTCGCTTTAAACTGGGACTGACGAAGTTATTCCTTTTGTCTGTTTATGCGCCGGTAGCTTCGTCGTCCAGGGCTGGGCTGGAGGAGTTTTGGGAGAATGTAAGAGAAGTTCTAGATTTGGTTAAGGGAAACGAAAGAACTGTTGTATGTGGTGATTTGAATGGATGGGTAGGTATCGCTCGACCAGGATACGAGTCGGTGCTTGGAAAGTTTGGCAATAAAAGGGTTAATGATGCTGGCAAGCTTATACTGGCTGTATGCAAGGAAAATGGTCTTCTTGTGACAAACACTATGTTTAATCACAGGAAAATCCATATGTACACTAGAGAAAGAAAGAATGAGAGAAGTATGATTGATTTGTTCCTGGTGGATGACCGACTGCGAAAACAGGTGATGGATACACGAGTGTTCAGGGGTGCTGACCTGGGAACGGATCACTATCTAGTAATTACTAGATTTAGGGGTTTGTTCGCGGGTTGGCCCTACCGGACGGAAGTAACAGGACCACAGTCGATCTGTCGCATCCGAAGCTGGAAGCTTCAGGAAGCGGATACTAGGGACAAATATCACACGAGGGTAGCCGAAAAGCTTGACACCATCGATGGCAGGAAAGAATGTGTGGTGAGAACATGGCAGAACCTTAGGGATGGAATGGTAAGTGCAGCGGAAGAAGTATGTGGAACGACAAAAAGAGGTAGTAGTAAAAGAAGATGCATGGTGGAATGATGAAGTGAGAGAAGCTGAAAAAAAAAGAAAAAAAGCATGGTTAGACTACTTGGCCTCTAGTAACGATAAGCATATGAGAGAGAAGATGAAAGAAAGATATAAGCTGCAGAAAGTTCATGCGAAATCATTGATTGAGGAAGTACGTGAAAGGTGTAGAATAGAAGCGGACGAGAGGTTGTCGCACAACTTTAAGGAAAACTCCAAACTCTTCTGGAAAGAGGTTGGAAGATCCCGGAGTGGTGCGACAGCCTTAAGAATGAACAAAGTGCTTTCGAGAACCAATCACGTCCTCTCAGAAAAATCGGACGTCATGCAGCGATGGAGTGAATTTTATAGAGAAATGTATGCGTGTCATGATCTTAGTGAAGGATCCGGGGGTGACGCCATGACTGGCACGCCAGACACGGACCTCGATGACACTGAGGTCATCAGCATGAAAGAGATTGAACGTGCGATTCGAAGTTTGAAATGTGGTAAGGCTGCGGGACTAGACAGAGTTACTGCTGAAATGGTCAAGTACGGTGGGCTTCGCGTCTGGGACAGCTTTCGTCTGCTGTGCAATTTGTGCTGGCGGACGGGAGATGTCCCTGATGATTGGCGATCCGCGGTCATTGTGCCTTTATATAAAGGTAAAGGTTCACATTTTGACTGCGGGTGCTATCAGGCGATCAGCTTGACCAGTTTAGCAAGTAAAGTTTACTCGAAGGTTTTGACACGTAGGATGCAAGAGAAATCGGAAAGATTCTTATGGGAGGCACAATGCGGTTTTAGAGCTGGAAGAGGATGCACGGATCAAATGTTTTCTCTCCGCATGATCACGGAAAAGCTTCTGAGTGTTAACCAGAGGATTTTCTGTGCTTTTGTGGATCTGGAGAAAGCATTTGATAAGGTTATAAGGAAGAAAATGTGGGAACTGTTATTATTATTATTTATTCTTTTATACTACTGCTGTTAATGCAGTACTTTTCTTTCTTTTAACTTTTATATCTTATTTTATTATGTCCATATTTTTTTCCATTTTTTTTTAAAATTTTTTTTTAATTACATACAATTAAGTTCCTTATAAGTTATAAACTTACTAATATAAAACTATAATATAAGCTTACTGCTATTATAGTTTTATACTTTTCTACCTCTCTTTTTAATCTACTTATCTTCGTGTAGCTTTTTGCTAATACATTATTTACGACTTTATCTAGATAGTATACTATAAAGATCTTACTGTCAAATTTTTATATCATTATTTAAGAAGGTGTATCTCTTATACTATACATATATATATATATACACATACACATACACATGCACACACACATACACACACACACACACACATACACACACACACACACACACATACATATATACATATATATACACACACATACATACATACGTACATACACACATACATACACGTACATACACCCCTACATATACCCTTTGATATTATACTTTACTTCCATTTTCTTTATTTATTACTAGAATTGCAGAAAGTGCAAATTGCATGAATCTAGATCGGCGATTGTCGTATTCCATCATTATTGCTATATTCCCTTTTGTGATCGACATATCCACGCTGCTCTCGCATTCGTATCTAATTTTGTTAAATTTTGGGCATTGTGTAATAATGTGCTCTATTGTTTGATCACTTTCATCATCGCAAGTGCAATGTGGATTTGTCAATAGCTTAAACCTATA